CACATCGGGGTCCATGATTGTGATGAAGGGCGTCAGAAGGAGCAATTTATATTATTTGTGCTTTGACCTGCAGTTTGAAGTCCTGTGAACCCATTGGTATGAGCAAGAAGACCGAGGTAGAGTTTGGTACTTCTATCCATCATTCGAGGGGTCTTCTGAGGGGTGTTCATTCAGGCATTCGGGGGCCTTCCAAGGGAGCATTATTGGGAGGTAATAGGTATGTGGTTTCCGCAGTTGGGGATTGCTCTAGGCATTGGTGGGTTGCAACCAAGTCCCGTTGGTGTGAAGTCCTAGAAGCCCGCAACAAATGGAGGAAGTATATTGGCAGAAAGGTGAAGGTACTTCAGTCTGATGTTAGAGGAAGGTACAAGAGGGACCTATATCTGCATTTGTGCCGAGCTCACGGCAATAGGAGACACTTCATTGGTGTGGAAACTTTGAGGCGACGAGGCGAGATGGCAGATTCGGGCAGCTATTCCTTTCTGGAGGAGGATCGGCGTTTGATGTCGAGCAATGGCATTGGTGTGCAGGCTACGACATGTTTGGGCCGTCTTATGTATAGTTTGCCGACTGCTGCATGTAGAGATTTTGGATCTGGTGGAGCTGCTTCAGATTTTGGGTTGCGTCGGATGTTTGGCTACCCAGCACTTGGTCACATCGTGGATGTGAGATTTGATCCGATAGCACATTTGGGATTCAGAGGCGTGTTTGATTATCAGGTATTGGCTTCTAACTTTGTTCTGAGCAGGTATGTCACGTTTCAGCGGGTGGAGAGTGATGCTACTCCACGTTAGGTGGAGACTCCAGATCATACTGTATCATTTGGGATTCCAGCTGAGGTGACACAGATTGGGGATCATTTGGATTTGGATGCAGATGATGAGTTGGATTCGATTGCAGCTGATGGACTTAATTTGGATACGACCATTGGTTCACCTCAGATGGAGGTGTTTGATTTGTCTCAATTTGGGGCCATTGAGAGTGCTATCAGTAACAGATCGTTTGGTGATATTGAAGAAGAGTTGCAGACTTTTCTATTTGTTTGAGGGCCTTTGGAGGCCATTTGGGTGAACTACGTTCGGCTTGATTCCTTGGGCAAGAGGATACGTAGGCAGTCTTTATGATGCAGCCGGGTTTGGATTAGTTGATAGGGGTGAGATCGATTTGGTGAGCGACATCGACATTTGGGGTGAGTGTTTGCACTCCCATTTGGGTCTTAGCAAGTGAGGCATTTGGTGTAGTCGGTGTAGGCTCAGTTTGATTGGTGAGTAGACACTATTTGGTTTGAGTTGAGTGTTCGCACTCCCGTTTGGGTCTCGACTTGTGTTGATGGAGTCCGTTGTCATGAGTCCGTTGCCATGGCGTACTGGATACAAGAAGTGAGACATTTGTTTTGGTTGGTGTCGGCTCAGTTTTGGTAGAAACTTCGCCGAGGTGGAGAATTGTGAAGCACGTGATGGTAGGGGCCACAATCAAGCAGGCCCACCCGAAAGGGACATTATAAATACCCTAGTGATTTCCTAGGGTTTTGAGCAGCGAAGTGAGGGGGTCCTTTTGGTGGCGGCAAAAGAAAGGAGCAGGAGGTTTGTTTTCGGCTGGGTATTTTTTTTTCTCTTTTGACTGCGGATTGCAAGGTGGCAAATAGGCAGTGGTGGCTACAGTGTGCAGCGCAGGAGCAGAAGAATAGGGGCAGCCGACTTTGTGATTTTTTTTTTTTGTGCATCCCTCTTTTGTAGAGAGATATTTGTGTGAGGGATCTGAGAGTTTGTTTGAGGGTTTAGGTTGTGCGATTGTAAACCCCAGTTGTATCTCTCCCTCTAATAGTAGATCTCCCCCCTCCTTGCCCCGTGGACGTAGCTAGGTAACCTTTCATTGTTTCCTCTCAAGTCTTTGAGAGTTCGATTGATTACTTTCTTGAAGTTCCTGCAAGTTAGTTTCCCATGTTAATTGTATATCTTATTACTTTCATAATATTCCTATTTGATTCACTTCATGCATGAGCTCGTTGTTGATTGGTTAATCATTGCTATCTTAATGTTGTTTATTTCAGTTTTATACCTTCGATATCCTTGAATGATTTCATTGCAACAATTCGAATTGATTCGATGGTTCAACTATTGATAATGATATTATTCCTCTCTTTGTTAATGATTGATTGTCTATATTCATGGATTATGCCCTGTGTGAAGTAAGCTTCACCGGTGGATGATAATGGTAAAGTGTCCCGGGGGACAATGCCCTGTGTGAGGACGCTCACCGGTGAGTGTATAAAGGCATGCACGGTTTATTGATTATCCCAAGATTGGGGAGTTTGGGATCCTGAATATTAGACCTTGATTGTTCATCTTTACATGTTATTTCACTTCGGTCAATGATTATGATATAAGAATGGCAACTTAATGTTGAGATCCCTTTGTTCAAGTTTGATACCTATGTCTATCATTTTCATTCGTTCCCTTGAATTGTACCCGAGATTTTTATGGTTACCTATTGGGCCTTAGGCTCACCCCTACTGTTTCTGAATCCACTCGTAGGTCATACAACTGGCAAGGATAAAGGCATTGCAGACCCTGAATTTGATGATTAGCTCCGGAGGAAAATCTTAGTAGGGGTTAATTTATGTTCACTTTTGTAGTACTTTTGACTTATAAAACATGTATTAATGTTGTAGCCACTGCTATTATTGTAATATTTTGTATTACCCTTTAGTTCCCTTCTATTTTGGTATTCTATGGACTCTGCTGTCAACCTCGTGATCCTGGGTATTGCTTATGCATCTCCACTGCTTTATTTTTCGCCCTTCAGTATATCTATGTTGTGATGTGCATAAAGATTTAGCAGGTCGACCATTCTTATTACAGATAGGCCATCCTCAAATTTTTATGTACCTCCCAAAGGAGGGGCGTTACATGCAAAGTGTAGATTTGCTCAATGTATGTTTAGTATTTGTACTTATTGGATCAGTCATCATTGTATAAGTATATAAAGAAGATATGTTATCTGTTATGTCATCGGAAACATGTTAACTTTCTTTATTCGTTTGTTAAGTTACACTGATAATATGTTAACTTTCTTTGTTCGCTTGTTAAGTTACACCGATAACATGTTAACTTCCGTAGTTCGCTTGTTAAGTTACACTGATAACATGTTAACTTTTGCAATTCGTTTGTTAAGTTAAACTGATAACATGTTAACTTTCGCAGTTTGCTTGTTAAGTTACACTGATAACATGTTAACTTTCGCAGTTCGCTTGTTAAGTTAAACTGATAACATGTTAACTTTCGCAGTTTGCTTGTTAAGTTACACTGATAACATGTTAACTTTCGCAGTTCGCTTGTTAAGTTACACTGATAACAACACTGATAACATGTTAACTTTCGCAGTTCGCTTGTTAAGTTACACTGATAACATGTTAACTTTGGATGGTAAATTGATAACTATATTTAGTAAATTGTTAAGTATAATCTATTTTTGTTTACTATTATTTGTAATCTATTAACTAACACCCTTATTTTGATAACATGTTGGTTTTTACATTTAACATGCGTTCATATTATAGTTAACATGTAAGTTGTGATAGTTATCAGTTTATATAACATGCGTTCATATTATAGTTAACATGTAAGTTGTGATAGTTATCAGTTTATATATAATAGTTAACATGTTAACTATATCATATTATAGTTAACATGTAAGTTGTGATAGTTATCAGTTTATATATAATAGTTAACATGTTAACTATGTTAACATTTTGATTTAACCTATTTATATATTAACTGATAACTATCACAACTTACATGTTAACTATGTTAACTATTATATAGTTCTCATTTAACGTGTTAACATATTAACTATAACACGTTAATATAGTTCATTTACGTATTATAGTTATCAATTTACGTATTATAGTTTTTATTTAATGTGTTAACAAATTATGTTAACATGCTACGTATTATAGTTAACATGTTAAATGAGAAATATATTAACGTGTATATGACCTGAAATAATAGTTAACAGATAAAGAATTATAAATAACAGTTACGGTAAATGACAATTAACGGATAATAGATTACAAATAACAGTTAACAGATTACAATTGGGAGGGGGAGAGGAGGATGTACGGTTAGGGTTAGGGTTTGGTCGGATATTGGGGCTCAAGAAGTTTTTGTTTGGGGTTGGAGAATGAATAGGGGAGAAGGGGATATTGAAAGAGGAAAGGCGGTTGGCGGAGCTCCGACAGCGGTGGTGACGTTGGTCGTGTAGAGAGAGGAGGAAGAAGAAGTGTGATTTTGGGGGAGATGACATTGATTTTGAGGAGGGGTAAAATTGGGTTTTGGGGAAAACATGAGCTGGAGTCATGATAAAGGGGCTTGGGCAAACTTTTTTCAAAAATTTAGGTTGCAGCACATTATAAATAATGTGAGGGGCTGGGGCACATGACTTTTTAGGTTTTGGGGCCTTGAAGGAATTTTTCCTTCAATATATTATACTAAACACCAGTGATTATTAGAAAATCGCAAAAAAGGTGTTAGAACAATTTTTCAAAACAGCCCCATTTCAAAAAAAATTTAAATCGACCTTTTTTTTTATTTATCAAAACCGACCCGATTTTTTGATTAGCAGCTAATCACCATCCTAAACAGTCGGGGTTGCCAATCCCGACTATTTAGGAGGGTGTTAAAACCTAATTAGAAGCATTAAACCCTAAAAATAAATGTCCTAAATAGTCGGGGTTGCCAATCCCGACTGTTTAGGAAGGTGATTAGGCTGCTAATCAAAAAATCGGGTCGGTTTTGGTAAATAAAAAAAAGGGTCGATTTAAAAAATAAAATAAAATGAGACTGTTTTGAAAAATTGTTCAGGGTGTTAACATGGATTGGAAAAAGTCTAAACTATGACTAGATTGGTGCACCTTTTTCTTCCACATGAATGTTCATTAAAAAACCATCACGGATTTTGATTTGTCATAATCAAACTTATTACTCCATCCGTAAGCCAATGGCTATGAGATTACAGTTCAGGGGTTTTCTTCGGTTTGTAAATTTTATGGGGATCTTTTACAAAACACCTAGGTCAGGGGATTTTGTGAAATTTACCCACGCTCGCGGAATGAAATCCAACTGTGAGTGTTTATTCGAGTCCAATTCGATCCCGAAACCGATCCTCAACCCGACTTTCCATCGCCGGCGATTCCGAGAATCCGAGTCCACACCCAGACGCAAACCCCAGAACCCGATGGATTCGACTCGGAGACTACTGAACCTAATCGAGCAGCTCCGCATCTACAAACCTCAGCAAGATGAAGACGACGGCATCGCCGACGGCGAAGACGTTGGCGTGGACGAATCCGCCGCGGGTCGGTTCGAACCCCTACCGGCCCGGTTCAGACCCAAGAAGGCCGCAGTCCTCATCTGCCTCTTCGAGAACGAGCTCGGCCAGCTCAGAGTCATCCTCACTAAGAGATCCTCCACCCTCTCAACTCACGCTGGTTTTTATCTTAGATTCCCGACATTTCTAGTACAATCTTCGAGAAAAGGGGGGGCTTTTTTTGTTAAAACAAGGTTTTTTTTTGGGCAGGTGAGGTGTCGTTGCCAGGTGGCAAGGCGGAGGAGGGGGATGAGGATGACAAGGCGACGGCGTTGAGAGAAGCCAAGGAGGAGATCGGATTGGATCCTTCTCTTGTTTGTGTTGTTGCTGTGCTTGAACCCTTTTTGTCTAAGGTAAATTGATTCATTAATTTAGTGTTGGATTTGGGAAATTTGAGGTTTTGGTTGCTGGTGGTTAATTACTTGTTTGCAGATGAAATTTTACCGATCAATTTAATCGAAATGTTAGGTGAAGTATATTTAATCAAAATGCATTTGCCCAAGAGAAAAATAACCTTAACTATGGAAATCGCCCATTTAGGATAGATGCAGCACTTCTTAGAGTGTAATTTCTCATTTTGGTATAGTCGTGTCCATGCTTCGAATATTCTCATTAATTCAAGTCATATATGCAGGAAAAGTGTATAGCTTAATCATTGGAAGTTGCCCTGTATGATATTGGCCAAAGTTGTAGATACACCTTGTTCGGTCAGTACTCTTTTTAAGTGATAGACCAGTTCATTAGGACCTACAATGTACGGCATTGTCCATCATCTCTATTATGTGTGGATTATTGTCTGCCAACATTAGGGACTACAATTCTAAGATCTGATAACAATTTGTCATGATCCCAATCAAACTAAAGATTGAAAGTAAATGACTAAAAAACTTTCTAGAAAAGAATTTCACATTGAAACAGCTAACCGAATATCATCTATTGTCGATCTTACATCGAAGCTTCGTACTGTCCAATAAATTTTCCTGGTATTCAAAATCCAATAGAAGTCATCCATGGAAATTGTTCAACTTGTATATCAGTTACCAATAGCTTTCAAATAATTCCAGCCTGTAGAATGAATTTAGATCGTTGGTATTTCCAAGTTTAAAATCTCTTTGCCATGCCTTCAAATTTTTAAATTGTTCATGTTGCCATATTTAATTGCTCGATACTAACTAACATTTCAATAAACAAAGATCATATTCAGAGGGGGGGAAATCAGGTTATTATATCATAGGAGTAGAACTTGCATCTGTGTGCTTCCTTCTCTTCATTGTTCTCTGTTTTCTGACAAAACATGAAATTGGTATCCTCGAAAGTAATTCTAAGGTTCTTCTATCCAGCATTCAGATGGATGCAGCCAGTACTATTCATATTCAACATTCTGAAATGTTCATGTGTACTATATAGAACAGTGGTGAAGCCACATTTAGTGGGCAAAAGTTCTATAACTCATAACTTCCTTGCACTAATCCATGACCTTTTCTCACAAAAAGAAAAAAAGGATTATGAAAATATTTGTCAGATTAATCAGCCCTCAGCTATTTGTATGAAGACGATCCAATATCTGAACCTAATAATAGCAAAAAGTTCTTTTTGATATCATGTATGGAACCTCTAACCTTTTCTGATTAGTTGAACTTGAACTTGATCAAATTGACCATCAAATTCTTGTCATGTTTATTTGACGACTAATCTTTCTTGATTATGAAGCTACTAAGAGAACCCAATAGTCAACATTTTTCTGTGTTCATTTTTAAGAAAGAAAGCTGATTTAGTTTGTATCTACTCTGTAGCATCTTCTCAGGGTTGTTCCTGTAATTGGTATACTTTCAGACAGAAAAGCTTTTACTCCTGTTGCAAACAGTTCAGAAGTAGAAACAGTGTTCGATGCACCATTAGATATGTTCCTCAAGGTTAAATTTACCTCTCAATAAATGCCGTCTGTTATTACCTCCTTTTCCAAAAACAATTAATTTCATTGATTGTCATCAGGATGAGAACCGGAGGTCAGAGGAGAGAGAGCGAATGGGCTATAAATTCCTGATACATTACTTCGATTTTGAATCTGAGAGCAGAAGGATTGTAATATGGGGATTTACTGCAAGAATATTGATTCGAGCTGCGTCAGTTGTCTATCAGATGCCACCTGCTTTCCCTGATGGGAAACCCAAGTTCAAAATACAGCATATTGTAACCAAGAATAATACATCATAACCTCTAGATTAAAATTGTAATTGTAATGAAACAAATAGTTGTAAGTGTAACTAATTCATCTTCATACCAAATAGCTCCACAATAATTTTAGTGGTGGGTATTTGAATCTGAGGGCACATATTTGTACTAGCTCTTTAAAAAGCATTCAATTGAAAGGGACAAGAAAATCTGTACAATTTTTTTTTTTTTGCATATATTACATAAAACTTTCATAGAGTTTCAGTGAAATGATAAGTACTTGTGTAATCTATCCTTATGCAATACATACTTGTGACCCAGATAACCCAAGCACTTACTTTTGTAAAAGAATTTGCACCGCAATATACTTTAAATATTGCATAGATGACATAAAACATCTATAAAGAAGTCATAGAGAACCCCTTCAAAGATATCAGTAGTAATACTTTTCCCCTCAACACTTACAAAATATGTGAACAAAAAAATTTATATCTTTCTACTGTATGAATATCTTGATGAAAAAAAGATATGTTCGGTAAATTTTACCAACCCCCTACGATGTGAAAGTGTTTTTACATCACTACCCTGAAGTTTATAGATATAATAATATGAGAAAATTTATCTTTCAATATTATACTAAACACCAGTGATTATTAGAAAATCGCAAAAAAGGGTGTTAACATGGATTGGGAAAAGTCTAAACTATGACTAGATTGGTGCCACCTTTTTCTTCCACATGAATGTTCATTCAAAAAACATCACGGATTTTGATTTGTCATAATCAAACTTATTACTCTATCCATAAGCCACTGGCTATGAGATTATAGTTCAGGGGTTTTCTTCGGTTTGTGAAATTTATGGGGATCTTTTACAAAACACCTAAGTCAGGGGGTTTTGTGAACTTTACCCACGCTCGCGGAATGAAATCCAACCGTGAGTATTTATCCGAGTCCAATTCGATCCCGAAACCGAACCTCAACCCGACTTTCCATCGCCAGCGATTCCGAGTCCCACACCAAGACGCAAAGCCCAGAACCCGATGGGCTCGACTCGGAGACTACTGAACCTAATCGAGCAGCTCCGCATCTACAAACCTCAGCAAGATGAAGACGACGGCATCGCCGACGGCGAAGACGTTGGCGTGGACGAATCCGCCGCGGGTCGGTTCGAACCCCTACCGGCCCGGTTCAGACCCAAGAAGGCCGCAGTCCTCATCTGCCTCTTCGAGAACGAGCTCGGCCAGCTCAGAGTCATCCTCACTAAGAGATCCTCCACCCTCTCAACTCACGCTGGTCTTTGATCTTAGATTCTCGACATTTCTAGTACAATCTTTGAGAAAAGGGGGGGCTTTTTTTGTTAAAACAAGGTTTTTTTTTTGGGCAGGTGAGGTGGCGTTGCCAGGTGGCAAGGCGGAGGAGGGGGATGAGGATGACAAGGCGACAGCGTTGAGAGAAGCCAAGGAGGAGATCGGATTGGATCCTTCTCTTGTTTGTGTTGTTGCTGTGCTTGAACCCTTTTTGTCTAAGGTAAATTGATTCATTAATTTAGTGCTGGATTTGGATTAATTACTTGATTGCAGACGAAATTTTACCGATAAATTTAATCGAAATGTTAGGTGAAGTATATTTAATCAAAATGCATTTGCCCAAGAGAAGGATAACCTTACCTATGGAAATCGCCCATTTAGGATAGATACAGCACTTCTTAGAGTGTAATTTCTCATTTTGGTATAGTCGTGTCCATGCTTCGAATATTCTCATTAATTCAAGTCATATATGCAGGAAAAGTGTATAGCTTAATCATTGGAAGTTGCCCTGTATGGTATTGGCCAAAGTTGTAGATACACCTTGTTCGGTCAGTACCCTTTTTAAGTGATAGTCCAGTTCATTAAGACCTACAATGTACGGCATTGTCCATCATCTCTATTATGTGTGGATTATTGTCTGCCAACATTAGGAACTACAATTCTAAGATCTGATAACAATTTGTCATGATCCCAATCAAACTAAAGATTGAGAGTAAATGACTAAAAAACTCTCTAGAAAAGAATTCCACATTGAAACAACTAACCGAATATAATCCATTGTCGATCTTACATCGAAGCTTCGTACTGTCCAATAAATTTTCCTGGTATTCAAAATCCAATAGAAGTCATCCATGGAAATTGTTCAACTTGTATATCAGTTACCATTAGCTTTCAAATAATTCCAGCCTGTAGAATGAATTTAGATCATTGATATTTTCAAGTTTAAATCACTTTGCCATGCCTTAAATTTTTTAAATTGTTCATGTTGCCATATTTTATTGTTCGATGCTAGCTAACATTTCAATAAACAAATTTCCAGGTTATTATATCATAGGAGTAGAACTTGCATCTGTGTGCTTCCTTCTCTTCATTTGTTCTCTGTTTTCTGACAAAACTTGAAATTGGTCTCCTCGAAAGTAATTCTAAGGTTCTTCTATCCAGCATTCAGATGGATGCAGCCAGTACTATTCATATTCAACATTCTGAAATGTTCATGTGTACTATATAGCACAGTGGTGAAGCCACTTTTGGTGGGCAGAAGTTCTATTTTTCATAACTTCCTTGCACTAATCCATGGCCTTTTCTCACAAAAAAAAAAGATTATGAAAATATTTGTCAGATTAATCAGTCCTCAGCTATTTGTATGAAGACGATCCGATATTTGAACCTAATAATAGCAAAAAGTTCTTTTTGATAGCAAGTATGGAACCTCTAACCTTTTCTGATTAGTTGAACTTGAACTTGATCAAATTGACCATCAAATTCTTGTCATGTTTATTTGACGACTAATCTTTCTTGATTATGAAGCTACTAAGAGAACCCAAATAGTCAACATTTTTCTGTGTTCATTTTTAAGAAAGAAAGCTGATTTAGTTTGTATCTACTCTGTAGCATCTTCTCAGGGTTGTTCCTGTGATTGGTATACTTTCAGACAGAAAAGCTTTTACTCCTGTTGCAAACAGTTCAGAAGTAGAAACAGTGTTTGATGCACCATTAGATATGTTCCTCAAGGTTAAATTTACCTCTCTTAGCGCAATCCTTTAGTTTGATATCACCCTTCTCTCTTTCATTGACATCAATTTTCCATTCTAAAACTGATCAGAATGAGAACCGGAGATCAGAGGAACGAGAATGGATGGGAAATATGTTTCTTGTTCATTTCTTTGATTTTGAGGCTCAAAACAAGAAGTTTCTTATATGGGGTTTAACTGCAAGCATATTGATTCGCGCTGCATCGGTTGTTTACAAGCGGCCACCTTCATTTCCTGAACAGAAACCAAAATTTAAGATCCCTCGATTGTTACCTGAGAATTGTCAGATGCCATGATATAATGCTTTATATTTTAACGAGAATAAAAAAGCTGTCACTGATGGTATTTTTCAAAAGAATGTGGATCACTACCAGATGAAGCTGGTCTGCTGAGTATTTTTAGCTTGGTAGGCTGCTAACTGTCATAGTTGGGTATTATATTCTGAAAAACTACTTTTATTGGTGAATATGATCAAGTTAGTTATAAGTTTTTTAACCAGAATTTGAGATTTTATGTAACATTGATAGAATATAGCAAATACCTGTATAATCTACGAGTTTGAAAAATCATTTTGCCATGGATGAGAGTGATAGTTATGAGATTGTTCATGGTTGTTTTCTTCTTACTCTTCCTCCTATTCTTGGTGCCTCTCATTATTTCTTTGATGCATGTTTCTATTCGTGTAGAGATACTTACCTCATTAGATAAGTCTTTAATTGATTATAGACATACGCAATGTAGCCCTATGTATCTCCCTTGCAAAAGAATTTTGGTCTTTCATTGCTTGAAAGTGCAACTATATAGGGCAGAAATTGGAATAACTTTTTTTTAAAAAAAAATAAAAAGAGCACTATTTGGGTTACATTCAAAGAAACCATTTGAGAAGTTAAATTGCTGATTTGCTTTAAGTTTAAGAGATTTTGATGTATGAAAAAGAGTTCACTTGTTGAAGCATAATGAGCTTGTGTTCTGCTTGCATCTTTTTCAACGCAGCACCGAAGCCTTCATCCTCCTACCTATGGACACAATTCGAGGTTTATAACATACTTAATATGGCATCATTCTTTCATCAAGCATGGAACCATTCCCTTATTATGAATAGAGATTGGATGCACAGAGTTAGAATTGAGTTACGTCACAACCAAAAGTTTAAGTTTATATGGTTCACAGGTTATGCTATCTTTAACCAACATAAGAACCTGAAAGCTTTTGGTCAAACAGAGCATGAAACACTGGAAGAAAGATGAAAATAAAGACATAACATAAAAATGCCAAGAGAACTAGAGATCAATAACCTTTGATGATAGTACCCTTCATTCAAGAAAGCCCAATTAGCAAGATGTCTGCAGATAAAAGAAATTTGACAATCTTATATTCAAGAAAATATCATGTGTATGATTCTCTCCTCTTAAATCCATGCTAGCTAAACTTCTCGTATACAAACATAAAACGCTTAAGGAACTCATTACACCGAGAAAATAAGGCAACAGTTCTACTAGAAGACATCAAAATCAAGATAATTTCTCCAAAACAGTAAACAAGCATCGCATCTTTCACCTCATCAAAATCCTTCAGCTAAATACCTCATAGAACTTCTCTATAACAAGCACCCCAGAATCAATAGACTCCAAAGGATCCTTCCTCAGCCTGTGCCTCAAACAATTAGGAATCACAGTTGCAATATCTTCTGCTATAACCTTATCCCTCCCCTTCAAAGCAGCTAAAGCCTTTGCAGCTCTATTAGTCACAATATCTCCTCGCAATCCATCAACGTTCAATTCAGCACAAACCTTAGAAATCTTCACTCTCAAATCATGATCAATCTGAACTGAACTCAATGAGCTCCGAGCTGCACCAATTTGTTGCTGGAGCTTCTCTTGCTCTGCTTTGTATGATTCTCTGAACCCCTTTGGATCTTTGTCAAACCTTGCTCTTTCTTCAACGATCTTTACTCTAAGTTCTGCATCTCTAACAGTTCCAACTTGAGCATGCATACCAAATCGATCAAGAAGCTGAGGTCTGAGTTCTCCTTCCTCTGGATTTCCTGAACCAATTAGAATGAATCGTGCTGGGTGAGAAATTGAAATGCCTTCTCTTTCTACAGTGTTCCAGCCAGAGGCAGCAGAATCTAGAAGAACATCGACTAAGTGATCATCCAATAAGTTGACTTCATCGACGTAGAGGATTCCTCTGTTTGCTTTTGCTAGCAAACCTGGTTCGAATGCCTTGACACCCTCGGTTAGGGCTTTTTCAATGTCAATGGTGCCACATACCCTGTTGATTTAGACATGTATGATATCTTTATTAGAGATTTTGAGACACGAAGAACAAATGTACTTTCAGAAGTCAAATTATTGATTGGATGTAGATTAATTAGATTGTAAATTCGATAATTCAAGAAACAAAATGTATGCCAAGGTAAAATCAAAATCAAACTAAATGGGGGGAAAATCACCAGTCTAAAATGGGCACTTTCAATGTTAATGCTGCCAAAACTAATTCTTTATTTGAGGCAGTTCTCCTATGTTTGTAAGAGACTTTAGGATAAAAATGTTGGATCTAGACAAAAGTTAGCTATTCAAGAGTCAATCAATAATCCACATCTTGTAAAAACTACTCTACTTTGATTGCAATAGTTTCCAGTTTGCACAAGAGACGTATTTCATGTATATTAAATGCAGTCATGCTAAATGCACAAAATATAACAAACATTTGATTAACATTGAACTGCGTTACGTATCCTTGTTATGCTGGGGGGGGGGGGGGGGGGGGGATCAACTACTGTTAATAGTAGGTCACATTTTCAGATTGGTTGTTAAGTTATCATACTGTGATTTTGATAATTCACAAATTTTTATGTATGCCAACCTAAAACCCAAGAAAATGAAAACAAAAGAATCACTACTCTTAAATGGGTATTTAATGTCAATGCTTCCACAAAACCTTTGTTCGTTCAAAATAGCTATTCTATGTTGGCATGAGATTTCGAACAAAAAATATTTGGTTGCTAGACAAGAATTACCACATTCAAGATTCACAAATCTGCCTCATATAAGACTACGCATTACACTTCCCAAATTGTAGAAGGGATTAGATTCATGGATATTAAACATAATCCAACTTAAACGATGATAAACAATTCTTCAACTGGCATCAAACTGTTACCTATCCTCAGTTGCACCAAGGGGAAGATCAACCATGGTAATCTTAGTAGTACTAGCAGGAATGGACTCCCCCATAGCAACCCGATCTCTCACTTCAGGCCCCATTGACTCTGGATCCTCTGGGTCCGAATTAAACGGGTCGCCCACAACAACCTTGATCTCTGGCAAGAGATCGACCAAAGACCTCACCGTCGTTGATTTCCCAGTTCCTCGATCCCCCATTATCATCACTCCCCCAATCTTGGGGTCAATCACATTAAGAAGCAAACAAAGCTTCATCTCATCTTGACCTACTATTGCTGCAAAAGGGTACACTGGGCGTTGGCTCTCTTTGGCTTTCTTCTTTGCCTGCAGATTGAAATTACAGGCAACATTTGCTGTAGGAAATTACGTTCAAGTCTGTCACTGGGATATCTGTATTTTGTTATGAGAAATGCATTCTAATGTAAATTCAGATTTTGCAACTTTTGCTCTAACAAATGCCTGTACACTGTAAATCAAGTGGTTGTTTGACTGTAATTGTAAAATCATACAGTTTATGAGCTGGACTCTATTAAGTTGAGCACCCGAGTTAAATTTTCAATTTTTTATTTGTTTCATGAAATTTCAGCATTTATTGTAGCCAAACTGATTATCGCAGTTGCTGATTTTTTTTCTTCTACAATATGGAAATAGACTACATTTCCGTGCTAGCCAAACATTGGATATAAAAAAAAATCTATAGAGTTTGCTACTCAGCTCTATTTACTGTCAATTAAGCAAACAGCACCACATAAAAAATGTCATCAGAATGAGATTTTGCAAATTAGGGAGAAACTTTGTACTTCTTCGGTGGCGATTTCGGTTGCAGCGACATTTGAGACACGAAGAGGGACGCGGATTCTGATTCCTTTGTGAGATATTCTACGACCTGTGGAGAGAAATTGAAGAGTTAGGGTTTGGGCATTGAGGGTTCGAGAGTGAGAGTTTGGTTTGCTTACTGGGGATGGAGACGATGGAGAGTGGAGCTGAGGAGCGAAAGGATCGAACTTTGGAAGTGAGAAGAGGAGAGGACGCTGAGTACTGCGCTGAGAGGCCCGCCATTGATTTGTTCTTCTCTGTTCTTTGCTCGCTCTCTCTGCTCTTCCTTCAAAAAGAGAGCTGCATTAGAGCGTGCTGCGATTGGAGATAAGGGATAGGATATTGATCACGTTTTCGAGGTTTTTGTCTATGTACCCCCAACATCTATTCTCTTTGCAGACTTGACCCTGATGACTGCATATTTGCTAATTAATCCCCATATCCTATTCCATCAACTATACTCTGTTGCCGTCTGGTTTAACAATTAACACAATTAAAATTCAAAAAAGGGTGAAAATGCAAATTTGGTGAGTAATATGAAAATATTTGGGGATATATAGGAAAAATAATATTTTATTTTCTCATTTTATCTCTTGTCAATTTGAAATTTAACGAAGTAAAAAAAAGGGTTATCTACTCCTTTATACAAAAAGGAGGATCAGAGAATCACTATTCATCAAACAGTAAATTAAACAGTAGAGTGTAACTGTAGCATATACACGAATTTCAATACCCATTTATTGCACCGCACAAACAAGACTTTCTACAGTAATAAATAGCAGCATATCCAAAAAAAGGGCAATCTGTCAAAACCAAGGCTTGCTACAGCATTGTGGGCCCCACATATACCACTTACAAAATTCTTCAGTTTACACCTCTTATACATATATATACATGGGTAACCAAAAAAACAAGGGAAAAATGTGTCCAGGCCCCAAAATCAGAAACTTCATGTGCTGCAGCCCCTCCTAGTTTCCCCCATGTGGTTCAGCCCCTTGAACTGTGACATTTTGTGCTGCAACCCCTTTTTAACATTTATTACATGCCAGCTAAGCAAAAATCCCCAAAATAACCTTATCCACCCTCCTCAATCCTTCAAACCCAGTTCTCTCTCTCTCTCTCTCTCTCTCTCCTCTCTCTCTTTAAAAACAAGGGCTTTCTCAAACTCGTCGCCCTGGCCCTCGCCCTTCTCGCCGTCACCACCTCCGCCCAGGCACCAAAAGCTCAAACTCAAGTAGCTTCCGAAAGTATAGATTTGTACCTGTCTTCCATCCAAGCAACACTGTATAAATCTCCCAAACAAGTCCAGTATTCTGGAGGAGGACTAGGTTACTCTCCGGGGCAGTAAGTTCCCCAACTACTTTAATTTCCACAGCATTTGAGGCTGTTGTTCCATAAACATTTATATTTTCCGGAAGCAAACCCTCAAAAGATACTCCCAGATTCACAAGCTTCAAGATAAAATACCTTAAACAACAAACAGGACAGTTAATTTTCCTAAATAGGACAAATAAAGTTTTAACTATGGACAGACTGAAAATCACGATTATAACATTGAAGATCAGTGAGTTACCATGCTTTTGTAAGTTCCCATGGCATGCTTTTTCTTTAGTGTAGCTACCAAGTCGTCATCATAAAGGTAAGGATAGGTAGGCATACCTGGAATATATCACAAACATAAGAGAAGTATTCAGTATCATTGTTGAAACATCGTGAATGATAACTAATTAAAGAAGGAAGAAGCAAGAATATAAAAAAGGTTATGTGCTAGGTTTCCAATTTTCTAAGAGTAAAAGAATATGATGCATATTATTAGTAGTGAAACGTTTATATTGTAATCGTCAATATCAAACGTGGTATAAAATAGAACTAACATGGTATAAATTAGAACTAACGCGGTATAAAATAGAACTAACGTGGTATAAATTAGAACTAACACGCTACAGAATAGAACTAACTTTGTGTAGATTAGAACTAACACTCTACACATTGTTGAAACATCGTGAATGATAACTAATTAAAGAAGGAAGAAGCAAGAATATAAAAAAGGTTATGTGCTAGGTTTCCAATTTTCTAAGAGTAAAAGAATATGATGCATATTATTAGTAGTGAAACGTTTATATTGTAATCGTCAATATCAAACGTGGTATAAAATAGAACTAACATGGTATAAATTAGAACTAACGCGGTATAAAATAGAACTAACGTGGTATAAATTAGAACTAACACGCTACAGAATAGAACTAACACTGTGCAGATTAGAACTAACACTCTACAGAATAGAACTAACACTGTGCAGATTAGAACTAACACTCTACAGAATAGAACTAACACTGTGCAAAATAGAACTAACACTCTACAGAATAGAACTAACACTGTGCAGATTAGAACTAACACTCTACAGAACAGAACTAACACTGTGCAGATTAGAACTAACACTCTACAGAATAGAACTAACACTGTGCAGATTAGAACTAACACTCTACAGAACGAAACTAATACTGTGCAGATTAGAACTAACACTCTACAGAACAGAACTAACACTGTGCAGATTAGAACTAACACTCTACAGAATAGAACTAACACTGTGCAGATTAGAACTAACACTCTACAGAATAGAACTAACACTGTGCAGATTAGAACTAACACTCTACAGAACGGAACTAACACTGTGCAGAATAGAACTAACACGCTACAGAATAGAACTAACACTGTGCAGATTAGAACTAACACTCTACAGAATAGAACTAACACTGTGCAGATTAGAACTAACACTCTACAGAATAGAACTAACACTGTGCAGATTAGAACTAACACTCTACAGAATAGAACTAACACTGTGCAGATTAGAACTAACACTCTACAGAATAGAACTAACACTGTGCAGATTAGAACTAACACTCTACAGAACGGAACTAACACTGTGCAGAATAGAACTAACACTCTACAGAATAGAACTAACACTGTGCAGATTAGAACTAACACTCTACAGAACAGAAATAACTTGGTATAAATTAGAACTAACTTGGTATAAAATGAGAACAAACTTGGTATAAAATAGAACTAACTTTGTATAAATTAGATCTAACATTGTATAAAATAGAACTAACTTGGTATAAATTAGGTTTATAACGTTGTAAAAAATAGAACTATCTTGGTATAAATTAGAGCTAACGTGGTATAAATTAGATATAACGTGGTATAAATTAGGTTTATAACGTGATATAAAATAGAACTAACTTGGTATAAATTAGTAAATTAGATCTAACGTGGTATAAATGAGATATAACGTGGTATAAATTAGGTTTATAACTTGGTATAAAATAAAACTAACACAAATTAGATATAACGTGGTATAAATTAGATATAACGTGTAATAAAATAGAACTAACAAGCCATCACACGCTACAGACTTGAACTAACACTGTGCAGAATAGAACTAACACTCTACAGAATAGAACTAACACTGTGCAGATTAGAACTTGAAAAGTAATTAGTAGAGGACTCGCTCTGCTCTTTCGTGCAAAACCCTCTAAACGAACATAAGCTTTTGAATGAGAATTTGATGTGGAAAGATTGTTGATGTTGGATTCATTATATTTCTTACAATTTCTAATAATTCCAAAGGACCCCCTGATTTCTTGATTGGTTTATGAGGAAAGACTGCTCCCTTTTAACTTTCTTTGAATTGACTAGCTTCTTCTGAGAACAAAAAGGTCATGGAGTGTCTACAATAGTCACCAATACAACCAAACTTCACACTGGTCATGCTTCCCACAAGAACATACTTACATCTACTCCTTTATACAAAAAGGAGGATCAGAGAATCACTGTTCATCAAACAGTAAATTGAACAGTAGAGTATAACTGTAGCATATACACGAATTTCAATACCCATTTATTGCACCGCACAAACAAGCATTTCTACAGTAATAAATAGCAGCATATCCAAAAAAACGGCAATCTGTCAAAACCAAGGCTTGCTACAGCATTGTGGGCCCCACATATACCACTTACAAAATTCTTCAGTTTACACCTCTTATACATATATATACATGGGTAACCAAAAAAACAAAAGAGAGGCAATTTGTGGAAAAATTAAGTGGCAAAAATAATCAAACTTGCTGCATACCTCTTCAAAATCAGGATCTGCTCTTCAACATTTCATGAGCCCCCACACATTCTTTTACAAACTCACCAACTTACACCTCATATACATATAAATTGGTAAACTTTAAACAAAAAAAGAAAATAAATGGCAATCTGTGAAAAGAAAATTATTCAAAGTTCTTGAATAAATCTTCAAACCAATCGTCGCTACAGTAATTTGTGGGCCCCACACAAGCCACTTGCAAAATTCTGCAGTTGACACCTCATGTACATATAGATGGTTCTGCTCTTCACACCTCATGTACATATAAACGGTTAACCAAAAAAAACAAAAGAGGCAATATGTGGAAAAACCAAGTGGAAAAAGTAATCAAACTTGCTACATACCTCTTCAAAAACGAGTAGCTACAGTATCTTGCGGGCCCCACACATTCATCTTACAAAATTTTGAAAATAACCACCAAAATGTTAAATGCAAAACTCTTCAAACCATCTGTTCAAAAGAGCGGCAATCTGAAAAAAACTTTAAACAAAAAAAGAAAATAATTGGCAATCTGTGAAAAGAACATTATTCAAAGTTGCTTGAATAAATCTTCAAACCAATCGTTGCTACAGTGTTTTGTAGGCCTCACACAAGCCACTTGCAAAATTCTGCAGTTGACACCTCATGTACATATAAATGGTTAACCAAAAAAAACAAAAGAGGCAATACGTGGAAAAACCAAGTGGAAAAAATAATCAAACTTGCTACGTACCTCTTCAAAAACAGGCGTTGCTATAGTGTATTGCGGGCCCCACACATTCAGCTTACAAAATTTTGAAAATACCCACCAAAATGTTGAATGCAAAACTCTTCAAACCATATGTGAAAAGAGCGGCAATCTGAAAAAAGCGGCAAATCTGAATTTATAATATATTATAAGTTGTCAGGTAATAAAAGAGCAATAAGGAAATACATGTATACACTCTAAACTCTACTGCAATAACCTCTGCCTTGGGTGAGTTTTTTTTACCCTCTCAATTTTCTTCAACATGTTCTTCAAATAACAAAATTATGCTAACTTATGCTATTTAGGTTTCAATTATATAGAAGTGGAAAAAGCTTTTGGACTTTTGGAATCAATCCTTAAATCATTCTGTAAGTATACTATGCACCTTTCAGTATATTTGTCTTTACATTCTGTAAGCATAGCATCACAATTTATCAACTGTTCAATTTTGAGGTCTTCTTTGTTCTTTAATTCATTTTAATTCATGAATATATACTTCTGGAATGTTAACTTATTGAATATTATTTGACTTTGATAGAACCTGTACACAATTTATATCTTTTCTTTAATTCTGTTATTGTTCTTTAATTCTGTAAGTATACTATGCACCTTTCAGTATATTTGTCTTTACTTCTGGAATGTTAACTTATTGAATATTATTTGACTTTGATAGAACCTGTACACAATTTATATCTTCTCATCGTCTCATGATTCAAAGTATGTTATTTATAAACTGGAATGTATGATACACATTTAACACAACTTTTTGAGCATATGTGGAATGTATGATGCACATCTTTCGGAGCATATGATGGAGAATAATGAGTATATAAGCGAGTGAATAAGGTAACTTACCCGACATCTTTCTGAGCATATATGGAATGTATGATACCATTTACCAGAAATTCTCTCGGAGAATATTTCAATTCGCACTTTCGGAGAAAATCTCTTTCGGAGCATATATGGAGAATATAAGTAGCAGCTCAATGGATGTTACACCTCAGGACTTAATATATGATTCTAAGAAAGCAAAGCCATTTAAGAGTGTCATGGAATTGAGCATCGGAAGGTATGCTTAGGGCATAAAATAATATTATCTCTAGTAAATTTTAGAGTTATTTGAAGGCTTTGTCTAATTTGACAAGAAGCCATCTGAAGTTTCTCCCAGAACTGAAAGGGCAGTGGTAATTTTCGTTATGCTTCATTAAGGTCCTATCTATGTCACTTAGCAATAACCTTGTTTTTTTTTTTTTAATTTCTTCAGTCTAGGTTCATTTTGGTCCCCATCCCTAGTCTTTTCAGATGTTCAAGTACAATCCTACAACCTCTAGATTGTGTGCTCATCTCTCTTGCATACAAATAAATGATAGGTCATAAGCTGGAGAGTCTTCACCAATCCAAAAGATCATTTACTGTATTTAGCAAATTCCTTTCTTAGACTGAAGAAGTAAAAAAAAAAAACAAGGTTATTGCTAAGTGACATAGATAGGACCTTAATGAAGCATAACGAAAATTACCAAAAAAAAAAAACAAGGTTATTGCTAAGTGACATAGATAGGACCTTAATGAAGCATAACGAAAATTACCACTGCCCTTTCAGTTCTGGGAGAAACTTCAGATGGCTTCTTGTCAAATTAGACAAAGCCTTCAAATAACTCTAAAATTTACTAGAGATAATATTATTTTATGCCCTAAGCATACCTTCCGATGATCAATTCCATGACACTCTTAGATGGCTTTGAGTTCTTTGAACCATCTATTAAGTCCCGAGGTGTAATATACAAGATATATTAGGCTTCAACTGGTGCTGGCGGTCTTGTTCGAAGCAATTATACTATTACTTGTGCTGGCGATTCAACTGGTGCTCCTGAGTTGGGAGGGTTAGCAAGCCTTGAAGTTGTACCATCAGTGGAGAAAGATGAAAATGTTGAGAAAGCTGAAGCCTACATGAAGAAACCTGATGATGTGAGTATATTGCCCATTTCATGCGTCTTACTTATTTGGTTGTATGAATAAGTCATTCCTTTTCTCCAAAAGAAAAAAACACACATTGAGATAGAAAGTGCGAAGAAAAATAGATACAGTAAGAGTATTTCAACTTTGAATACCTCTACAAGTGATTCCTTGATGGTTGATAAATAAAGTTTGAATTTCATATTGACCATTCTAGTCAATTTTAACGACATTATGAAATTATAAATTTGGAGCTAGGTTTTGTGGATAAATTCTCAGCATTTATTGTGGTTTATGGTTTCCATTTTCAATTATAACTAATATCAACGTAAAGTGATGTTTCTAGATCCACAGAAATATATTAGCATACAAAATGCAAAATACTTGTAGGTGCCCCTTATTCACATAGTTAAGCCCCTTGCAGTGTAGAACAACTGGGGTTCACATTCCACTTGCACTTTTTATGTGGCCATTGGGTCGGAATTGATGAAAATGAACAATATAGTAGGTTATAACCTATAAAAATAGCCAATTTTGAAGTATGCATAATTAGTTGTCGTCAGCCAGAGGAAAGCATCTTGCCGGCGACGGCGAGCTCGTTATGGAACGCCCTCTCGCCTTGAAGAGAGACTGAATCCATTAGCTTGACGACGATCTCCTAGCAACCAGAGAGGGACCCACGGAACACGGGCCCGAACCCGCCCTGGCCGAGCTTAAGAGAGGGGGAGAACGACGACATGGCACGGCTGAGCTGTGAGTAGGTGAACCGGCGAAGCGGGTTCGGATCCGAAACAGCGGTAGTGGGTTTGAGATCGGACGACAAGGTCGACGCTGTTTGATTGCAGCGGAAGCGGCGATAGAGGAGTTCCTCGTCGGAGCCTTCTGAGACCAACTATAACTGAAAAGTTGATTTATCTAAAATATAAAACTAAAAGTCGATTTAAAAAGAGTCGTGGTACTTCTAGATATGGGTTCTTCCAATATTAGCCCCCTAAATCATCAATATTTCTGTTAGACCCCGAAATCTTTGAAATTGTTCTCAGATCCCCTCAAATACCAATAATATGTTGAAATAAGCCCCTTTGTTAAAATTGTTGAAATGGAAGGAATATTCTATTTACTTTTACTTTTCCGGTGATTTGGCAGTTATATCTCTCACACAAACCCAAAACCATCAACAACTTTTAACTTATACATAGTTAAGATCCCCAATTTCGCTTAATAAAACCCTAACTCAAACACATTTTCTACTTTATCTTCTTCAACGTCTTCCCCAATAACTCTCTTCAGCACTGATCCCAATTTTATAACATATGGATTCATATTCGGGAAGATGTTGGAAAAAATAAAGTGAAAAATGAGTTTTAGTTAGGGTTTTATTAGGCGAATTTGGAGAACTTAATGGATGCAAGTTAAAGTGGTTAATCAGTTTTGGTTTGCATGGGAAAAATGTACTTTGTAAATCATCAATGAAGTTAAACTAAACAAAATACACCCCCTGCCCCCCGCCCCCAAAAAAAAAAAAAAACCACCACCAAAAAAAAAAAAACCACCACCACTACCAAAAAAACAAAGATTTTAACACTATTATGGCTTATTTCAATATATTAATAGGATTTTGGGGGGGTCTGAGATCAATTTTGAAGATTCAATGGGTCAATATCAAAATATTGAGGATGGGGGGGGGGCTGAGATGAGATTAATTTTAATGATTTGGAGGGCTAATATTGAAATACTAAAGATTTTGGGTATAATATCGAAATAACTCTTTAGATATACGTTTTTTTTAAGTTAATTTATTTAGAACATGACACCAAATCATCATACCAATAAAAATAAGCATCGAATTATCGTGATTTTTGAAGTATCTAATCAATATTCAAAATTTTACGTCATATACACCTAATAATTACACAAGTCATTATTAGTTCATTTTTTGCAAGTTCAATTTCAATTATGGAGCTGTTTGATTGGTTTCTTAAAATCAAAGAAAAGGAAATTAGAACATGGAAATTATTAAAATATTATTTTCATTCATTTCCATCTTTAAAACTCACTCACATCATCCAATAATATGGTGACAACTCATCTCATTCCATCTCATTTCTTACTTTTAAAAATAAATCAAACACAAGAAATGAGTCACATCATCCAACTTATCTCATCTAATCTCATCTTTAAAAATCACATACATCATCCAATATTATGGTGACAACTCATCTAGGGCTGTGCAAGCGGTCGGTCAGTTTGGTTTTTATCAAAATTTGAACAAACAAACCGAACCGCCCATTATTTAAAATTGAACCGAACTGCTGCAAGTCGGTTTAGTATGGTTCGATTTGTTAGGTTCTAACCAATTTGACCAGAAAGAACGCATGCGAATCACCGATATCTAACTTCATAAATTCCAACAAAATAAATAAAGAATAGAAAAATAAGAACCAAGAAACTCACCATCTTCAGATACTTTAAGGACATTAGACTTCCTCAATGTCTCCGCCACCGCCAACGCTTTCTTTCTCCTCCGGAACCGCCTCCTCCTTCACCTCACCCAATCCAAGAAGGGTTCTCATCCGAGCAAAGGAACATATCAACCACAAACTCACCACTACAAAAAAAAAACAAGGATTAGAACGACAAAAATAAAGCTTTAAAAGAAACGATTTGATCTTGAAGCAAACAAAGCATACATCCATCTTCGCTCTCTTCAACCTTTTGTTTCAAGAACTTGTCCCTCGGAAGATTGCTGTCACTGAAATAAAACTCCACCTGCGACAAAATCCACAAAGAAGAAAACATCAAAAGTCGAATTTTTACCGGCCCCAAAAGGATTAGGGTTTGGATTGAGAGCGACCTGGCGGAGGACTTTCGCGGCCGTATTCTCGTCCAAGGAAGCGACCACCATTAGAGGATCGGAGGAGAACGGAGCGCCATTAGAGGATCGGAGGAGAACGAAGCCAGGGATTTGGGGGGTCCTTGTGAGAGAGAGGAACTGAGGAGTGAGGAAGAGGAACCGAGGGAGTACGGCTGTGAGTGCGGCTGGATTTAGGGTTTAGGTTAATATATGAGGGAAGGGAACAGGTCGGGTTTGTACTTTGTAATGAGTAGTTATTAGTTGCGGTCCGTTCGGACGGAAATTTTTTTTAACCCGACCCGAACCGACCTACAAATAAAACTGATCCGAACCGTAAATTTCGGGTCGGTTTTTCAGTTTGGATCGAACCATGCACAGTCCTAAACTCATCTCATCTAATTAATATTTCCTTTCTATCCACTTTCTCAAAAAAAAAAAACAAAGGAAATTAGTTTCCTTAAGTATAAGTCGAATCATCCAATAATATAATGGCAATTCATCTCATCTCATCTATTTTATTAGTTTTAAAAATGAACCAAACACAACAAAATAACCTATTATAAGAAATAAACAACCTCAAAACAAGTTTTCTTAAAAAATCACCCACATCATCTAATAATATGAAGACAACTCATCTCATTTCATCTTCTTTTTCACTTTTAAGAAATCAACCAAACACAAGAAAAAACCTATTATAGGAAATCAATTTCCTATTCTTTGATTTTCTTCTTTTTTAGCCAAACAATTAGCCCCTATATGTAAACCAAAATTGGTATGTTTATTAACACTCTTAGCTCGTGCGTCTTTGACGTAACAAGCAACAACTGTTAGTTTTGATATAGATACGTAAGATCAAGAATTTGGCGGTCAATATTTATGCCATGCTAACAATATATCAATCAACAAGATGAAGAAAGACATTAATTTGTCTTCAGATATATCAATCAACAAGATGAAGAAAGACATTAATCAACAATATATTATTATTAAGTTTAATAACTAATTTTGCTAGTTTCAAAAAAGACTTACGTACTTAAAAGTTAATACCCACTATTAGTGACCCCGACAATTGGAAGGTTCAAACATAGTTTCTACGGACTCGAATTTAAATTTGGGCTGGCTTATAAAAAAAAGACTTAAAAATTAATTTAGTTTCTTAAATTAATTACACAATTATACAAAATTGTTTCTAGCTTCAACCTTCATCAAAATTCACAAAAATACAAAATTTCACAATGACCTTCATGTGAGCTAGTAAACTTACACCCATATTAATAACAAAAAATAACAACCTTCATCAAAATTCACCATAATCAAATATCATCTTCCCCCGGTTCAAAAATAACATTCAAATAAATCACACATTTCCAGACATATCTCAAACAAAAAACTGAAAATGCCTAGGCCCCTAAAAATCTTGATGTCTCAAACAAAAAACTGACAAAGCCAAGACCCCTCCTAATAACCTGGGCTTTTGAGGACTTCCAAATTTTAAATAACTTGAGGTTTCAGCCAAGTACTTGCACTCAGGTTAACCAAAGAAAAACAGAAAACAGCAGACAACACATATTACACTATCAAGTTGGTAGTTCAATTATTAATGAATTTAACATAACACCACCTATTTGGATGTGGGAGTGAGGTAGTTAGTTAACAATTTATTTGTAACTCTTCCAAAAAATTGAAAATGTGTGTGTGAGAGAGTAGAACAAAGGGCTGACTATATTATCTGAATCAAGATTAGCCTGATATAACTATCAATATTATCTGAATCCAAATTTGTACATGCTTCAAAACAAATGGCTAGAAAAAAATGGTTCATAATACCTTTAACTATTAACAGATAAGCAAGTGCAACCAAAAAATTAAAAAAAAATAAAAAATATGCAAAAAATGAAATATGTGATGTTAACAGCGGATCAAGAAAATTAGATCAAATTTCGCTTCTACATCTTTTTCATGCAATTCCTCAGGTAATTTCCTCAAGTAAGTTCAGATCTTCCTAAACATTTATGTTACTCTAAAATCTCAAAAAATATCCTGCAATTACAAAGTTCAGATTGAACAGCTCAACAAAGTTTAGACCCACCACCCTCAAATTCTCAGATAATTGATGTAAATTGAAATTTTAATATGAAAATTTTAAAAAAGTAATTTTTACCTTGATTTATTAAGCAACAACGTCGGCGAAGATCAGATCTAAATAGCATGGACAAAGATCAGACGCCCCTCCCCTAATTTTTTCAAATACAGCCACAAAGAATGTCGCGGGAGTTTATGGCGGGAGGAGAGTAAGGAGGTAATTATAGCTCACCGAAGAAATCAATGAGGAAGACCAAAATCCGACGTGGCCAGGGTTTTTGCCGATTTTACTCGGTTGGGGAAGAAATTGGGGGAGAGGAAAAAACCTAGGTGGCGGTGATTTTTATCTCGTTTTCCCTCTTCAGCCCTAGCGAAACAAAGATGGGAAAATAAACCGACGGAAATGAAAAAACCAACGTGACCCCCAAAAAACCAACGTGGAGGTGATGTAAAAGTTTTCCACGGGGTTAAAAAGCGAACCAAATAGCCCCTTATAAAAAAAAATTGATGTAATAGATTTTTGTGCTAAACTGGGATATCATAATTGATTTTCGTAGAAAAAGATATCAATTGACATAATAATATCTTCAAGCAGAATAGTAAAAGAAAATAAGTTAAATTGATATTACATGTCATGTTCTAAACTTTAATAATCCCAAGTTATAGTATGGAGTCAATGATGAATAACAATATCATTATGAACTATAGTTCTAGCAATAAAAAAATAACATTTCTTATTGCATTAAAAATTGAATTACACTGCACTTTTCAACATTATAAGCTTATGTTTTATAATAAACAATCTCAAAATTAAACATTAAAAAAAGTACAATAAACATGATATATATATATGAGATCTTAGCCTACTTTATTTGATAGACTTCAAATAATAAAAAGACAAAAACTAAAGATTAATGGTAACTATAGTATAATTTTATGTGATAAAAAAAATAACATAAGCATACAAAAATACTAAAAATTTTGCATGAAAAATCCTTCAAAAAATTCCTAATTTTACTAAAAAATTAAGTTATAGTATAAAATGTTCAAAAAACATTATCATTTATTCTTTTTATTTTATATTTTAATTGAGCCGAGATCAATCTTTCTCCACATTTATCTTTTTATTGGGTAATTCTAGAGTAGCATCTTCATCATCTATATCAATTGTGATATCATGTTGGAGTTAAAATTTTTGAATTTAATCTCTTTAAATAATAAAGTCCAACACCAAAATCAACACATTTGTCTTCTACTCCCCCCTCAAAAACCATAACCCTAATCCATGAAATGGATTTGTACATAATGAAGAACAAAAGACAATGTCAAGAGACAAAAAAGAAAAAAGAAGAAATTGAATAAGAATCGCTGGCTTTGTACATGATAAAGAGCAAAAGACAAGATAAGAGTCCAAAAATATATTAGGATATACTTGGATCAATTAAAGTATATTACTATTCATAATTGATATGCATAAGAGACAAAATGTGTTGACAATCTTAAACTATAAAACAGACTGTACAGGTCCTCTAACATAATTTTTTAATGCAAGCAACCCCCAAAATTACTTTTGAAAATCTCTTGGTTTTGTGGAAGAGTTTGGGTGTAAAGAACAAATGTTAAATTATCTAATCCGATTAAAGTAGGATCATATAAGTTAATCACATACATAAAATTTATTTTAACCAAAACTCATATATTAGTATTATAATTGGTATTAAGATCAAAGATACGTGTGAGATTCTCTTTGACTTTTATACAAACAATATCTATTTAAATAATAATAGTATAATTAAACTTTGTGATCTGAAAAAATTAAACATATAATATAATTAATTATTTTAAAATAGTCTAATCTAATTTAATAAGAAGAAAATAGATAAAAGTACTATGAAAGTTGTTGCAATTTTATAATTCATAATTCTTAAACAATCTAATCTATTATAATAAGAAGAAAATAATAAAGACACATACTTATTGAAAGAGATAAAAGTACTATAAAATTTATTATAATTTTTTGATCTAAAAAAGATCAAATATACAATATAATTAATTACTTTAAAATAATCTAATCTAATCTAATAACAAAGGCACATGCCTGTAGAAGGAGATAAAAGTGCTATAGAAATTATTATAATTTCTTGGCTTATATATATTGGTATATGATGTTGCATGTGAGAGGATAATAATTATAAAGAGAGTTCTATTTAAATATAATTAAATTTTGAAACTAATTATGCCGTACTTTGAACTACTTCTATTTTAGTCGGTGAGATATCGTCACTTTGTGTGTAATTATTAATCATATAGCATGTGAATAATTATTTACAGATTGACATTATTAATCATGTAGCACGTGAATAATTATTTACGGTTTGATCATTGATCACATATAAGAGCGAGGGTGTAAATTTGGTATTTAATAAATTATCTAATTAATCTAAGTGTACCATGAACTGCTTGAATTTTAGTTGGTGAGATCGTCACATTGTGTGTAATTATTAATCATATAGCATGTGAATAATTGTTCTCAGTTTGACATTATTAATCATGTAGCACGTGAATAATTGTTTGCATCTTGATCATTGATCACATATAAGAGTGAGGGGGTAAATTTGGTATGTAATAAACCGTCTAATTTATCAATTTATTCTTACTTAATGGATTAATATTTAAATTCAAAGGATATTTTTGTCTACTAAAAGATTTTCTGGAACTCTTGCTTTTAAAAGGGAGTATGATATGATTTTCACCCACAATCAACGGCTAAAATCTTCTCCGAATTCAAACCCTCCCCTTCCTCCATCAATAAATACGAACAAAAGACCCTCTAAAATTTCCAGATTTTCCTCCTTTTAATTTGCTTTCTTGACCAAAATTAGGGCTAGTCTTTAAACAAAAGATGACGTCGACTCGTCGAGTGTCGATCTCTTCGTTGTTGGGGCCATGACGCCTCCTCTGGCGAAGAGGCGAAGCCGTCGACTATCAGGTGCTGGAAAGTCAGCAAGGAAGTGAACCAACTTGATAGAGAAGGGAGCTGAGGATTTGGAAGCTGGAGAAGAATTAGAAGCTGAGGAACTGTCAGTCGAAGTTGGAGACAGAATTGTGAAAGCTATAGCTGAGGA